TCCCTCGCGGGGCCTGGCCGCGGCCTCCAGCGCCCCAGCCCCGGGGAATGCAGTGGCCCCCGGCCCCTGGCTCCTCTCCGTGTCTGGGCTGGACCTCCTCGCTCGCCTGCTCCGCGGCCACGACGCTCCTGAGCCGCGCCGGCCGGGGCCCCCTCATGGCGGCCAAGTGGTTCAAGGAGTTTCCCCTGAACCTGAAGACCGTGTCGGAGCGGGCCAAGCCCGGCGGCGGCGGCGGCGGCGGCGGCAAACTGCGCAAGAACTCCGAGGCGGGTGGCGCCGGGCCGACCCCGGGCAAGGGCCGTAAGAACTCGGCAGCCGAGCTGGGGGGCGGCAGGGCGGGCGGCCCCCCCAAGGACAGCCGGCTGTCTCGGGACAGCCTGCAGGGGCTGATGCAGGCCGCCGCGGGCAAGGGTCGCAAGAACTCCCGGGCCACAGAGGAGGAGCCCCACCGGGGCGCGGCCAAGAGCTCAGGCTGCAGCACCTACATCAACAGGCTGATTAAGGTGGATACCCAGGAGAAGAATGGGAAGAGCAGCTACCCCGGCGGCGGCAGCAGCAGCAGCAGCAGCAGCAGATCTTCCTCGGCGTCCTCTTCCCCGTCTTCTTCTCTGGGCCCTGAACTGGACAAGGGCAGGATTATTAAACAGCAAGAAACGGTAAGAATCCAGTGTCCCTTGGACCAGTTTTCCTCTACAAGAAGTGAAACAGTGGGAGGAGAGCAGAGTTAGCGATAGGGTCCTTTATATCCAGCAGAAAGTGAGAATGTGTTTCTGAAGGTCTTAAATTCAACGATTCCTGAGTGACTTAGGAGACTTTATATTGAAAAATCATTCTAGGGGTGGGGTATTTTGCAGAGCTGTACTGTCCATTTACTTTTGTTAACAGTTTAGAAGTTAGTAGTTGAATGAGATACTCTTGTTAAATTTGACCTTATAGATATGGTTGGCGTTCCTGGGTGGTGCAAATGGCTAACTGGCTTAGCTGCTAACCAAAAGGTTGGAGGTTCCAGTCCACCTCGGAAGAAAGGCTTGGCAGTCCACTTCTGAAAAATCAGCCCGTGAAAACTCTAGGGAATGAAGTTCTATTCTGACACACATGGGGTCACCATGAGTTGCCATCAACTGGACAGCAGCTGGTTACTGGTTATAACTGTGGTTTATTTTGCTTTTGATATCCAGGGGAAGTTGCAAAGCTAGAATTATATATAACTTTTATCATTCTTGTGTATAAAGAATGGCAAACTCTAAACTATGTAAGTGTGGGTTTCAAAGTTTCAGTGAATGAGTTAGCCACCCCACCTCTTTGTTGGTTTGGAAGCTCCATCCTTCTTTACCTAGTAAAGAAGCCTCTCCAAGACAACCCCCCTTTCATTCATTCCATGAACATATGTGGAGAGCAGTCACATAGGAAAAGGGCCACAGGGCCTTAAGGGCTGTGGGGGACACAGAATGTGACAAGGAAGTGCCCTTAAGGAAATTGCAGAGCAAGAGAGAAGGTGTTTCCTGGTTTTTACACACTGAAGGCTTTCTGGGTGCTGTCCAACGTGGGAAAGTTCAGAAAAGCAGTGTAAGGAGGGACGTGCTCCATTCTTACAGGATGAGTTGGTTTATTTAATTGCCTCTCCGGCCTGACAGGGGGAGAGAGAAGAGCTCAAACCCAGCTTTCAGACTCCAGCTCAGGCAACCACTTCCTGTCATGGAAACTTTAATTTTCTCTTGCCCAGGCTTCAAACATGCTGCCCACCTGAAGCCCGCAGCACAGGCTGTGTTGTCTGCGTTGGGTACTTTTGTTCATTCCTCCATTCATTCTTGCCACACATATTTACAGCATGCTTACCCTGTGCCAGGTACTGAGGGCAGAGCCATGGGAAGATGGATGAGGACGCAGTTCATGGGTTAGTCGCTGCTCTACTTGACTCTCTGACTACATCGTAGGCACCCAGAAGCGCAGGGCTGAGTATCATGTTTTATGTTCCACGCTGTGCCTTGCAAATGCAGTGCACGTAGTGGGCAGTCAGGAAGAATGGATCAGTGAATGAGTGCAATCACAGCCATCTGTAGTGGCTGCCTGGTTATTTTCACGGATATCGCTTCTGGATATCCGAGGTTTCTTAGACCATCTCCTCTGAGTATTCAGGCTTTTCCCTCCTCCTCACTTTTGTGGAGCAGGCCCGGAGCTTCCTCTCTGCTGAGGGTTTTCTCCCAGCCTCTGCAGAACAGGACTATTCCATACACACTGCTTCTCTAGCATCTCCCTATTTTTGGAAGGATAGATGTTTTCTGACAGATAGGGATCAAAACTCTGACTGTAGCCCGTGCAAATCAGTCTGTCTACGAGTTATTGAACCTAGAACTCCCACAGGGCTGTTCAGTATTGCTTGTTTATGAAGCCTGTTTCTTTAGGGGAAAAAAAAAACCAAACATGTTGCTATTGAGTCCATTCCGACTCATAGCAACCCTATAGAACAGAGTAGAACTGCCCCATAGGGTTTCCAAGGAGCAGCTGGTACATTTGAACTGGCGACCTTTTTGGTTAGCAGCTGAGCTCTTAACCACTATGCCACCAGGGCTTTTATAAATTCCTTGAGGAGAGAAAGCAGCCTTGGGCTTATTTTGACTCCCCCGGGTGCCTCAGCTGATTCCTTCGAGTGGATATTCAGTAGTTACTGGGTGATCGACTGACCCACCATGACTGCATTGCTCTGCTCATGGGGTACATGGTAGGCCCGTTCATCTCTTCATGTTCCAAAGTCATAGACACTCCGCCCTCCTCACCACCCACCCCTGCCACCCTGTAACCCAGCAAATGCTTTATTGCTTGAGGAGGGAAAGGGAGGTCAGAAAGAGCCGTGAAGACATGTAAAAAAATCCGACGTTTGTCCAACTGGGTTAATAACATGTTCAGGCACAAAAGCTATCCAGAACTGGTTGGCAATTTTGACCTCTCTTCAGGTCTCCAGGAGATTTCCATAGTCACTTGGATACCATTGACATTTTGGTATATGATAATCCTTAGCAACTCTCCTCTCTCGCTCTCTGACAGGTCATCATTTTAGAAGACTACGCTGACCCCTATGATGCCAAACGGACGAAAGGTCAGAGGGATGCAGAGAGAGCAGGAGAGAATGATGGGTACATGGAACCCTACGATGCCCAGCAGATGATAACAGGTTAGTACCCAGGTGTTGCTTGATGAAAACCGAAATCTCGCGCTGGATTGAGCGTTGTCATGTAATAACCCTTGTTGTAGTTAGTTGCCTTTGAGTCGATTCTGACTCGTGGTGACCCCGTGTGTGCAGACTAGAACTCCATAGGGTTTTTGAGGCTGTGACCTTTTGGAAGCAGATCACCAGGCCTGTCTTCCAGCGTGCCTCTGGGTAGGTTTGAGCTGCCAACCTTTTGGCGGCGCGTAACCATTTGTGCCACCAAGGGACTCCTATACTAACCTTTCAGAAACCAAACCCATTGCTGTCGCGTCGATTCTGACTCATAGCGACCCTATAGGACAGAGTAGAACTGCCCCATAGAGTTTCCAAGGAGCGCCTGGTGGATTCGTACTGCCGGACCTTTTGGTTAGCAGCTGTAGCTCTTAACCGCTACATGACCAGGGTTTCGATACTAACCTTAACCTGTGTATATTTGGGGAAGAGGGATAAAGGAACTTAACCATATCCTACTGACTGAAGGAAACAGAAATTAGACTCAAAAATAAGATTAAAATATATAATTAAATTCCTTTATGGCTTTGCATCCTGCAGAGTTTTAGAATTTGCAGGGGTCTTTAAGTTTTTCTAATTCTAGACAAGATGGCACTTGTGAGTTTGCAGGTCTGCACAGAACGTGATCTTAGGTTTTAAGATTATTTGTATACATTTCTTGACCACTTTTAGAAACTTTGGCATCCATTCATCCAAACTCAGACTCATTGCCCCCAGCTGATTCCAACCCATAGCAACCCTATCCAAAAACCAAACCCATTGCCATCAAGTTGATTCCCTATAGGACAGAGTAGAGGTGCCCCATAGGGTTTCCAAGGAGCGGCTAGTGGATTTGAACTGCTGACCTTTTGGTTAGCAGCAAAGCTCTTAACCACTGCACCACCAGGGCTCCTTATGACCCTATAGGACAAAGTAGAACTGTCCCGTAAGGTTTCCAAGGTTGTAAATCTTTTCCAGAAGCAGACTGCCACATCTTTCTCCCACGGAGCGGCTGGTGGCTTTGAACCACCAACCTTTTCGGTTAGCAGCCTAGTGCTTTTACCACTGTACCACCAGGGCTCCTTTTTGACATCCACAATAGGAGTCATAAATCTGTACCAAGGGACAAATACACGCTTAAAGGATTTTAATTTGTTGAAAGATGTAAACGTGACGTGATCCTCTGTATTGTAGTAAAAGATTGATTTCTGAACAAGCTGTACAACATTGGAGCAAAAAGTTTAATTACTGAGGAAGGCTTCCTAATCACTGGTGTGAACAAGCCCGTCGAGGCAAATCACCCCAACCCAAAGTCGATTAATCTTGTAATTTTTCAAGTTGGCCTGACTCCAGCTTGCGAGCTACGCCATTGCTATCATTTTTGATGTCAAACCTTTTCCTTTTATTCACCTGTTCAGTCGGTGTAGATGATATTTAAATGGAACATAGCTACTTAGGTTTATTTGTGGATTTTAAATTATTTATTCACCTAATTTTCCTTAAACATTCTTTGATCCGTGATGAAAACCATAGTTTCTGAATGCTGACTCAAGGGAGCCTTGTTCCAGTGTCTTGGGTTTCATGCCTGGGAAGGACATAATTGGTCACACATTAAAGGCTTTGTCTCTTCTGTTTGACCACAAACTGCAAAGCTGCGCAGCCCAGGCTCCCAGAGCGTAGTCTCAGAGCAGGGGAGCCGAGGCGAAGTGCAGCAGCCTGGAAGGAAGGGTCAGGACAGGCTTCACGTCGAAATGAGCTGCTGCAGGAAAACACAGCTCTGTTTCCTGCTTCTCTGCTGACAGAGATAAGGTGTGCATTCGGGGAGGGTGCACCCTGGCCAGGCCCCTGCACGGGTGACCCCAGTGAAATCTGTGAATGAAAGGAAATGAAAATGAACAGAGTTAGAAATTTAAAAAATAGTGGAGGTTGGAAAGGAATAGGAAAATGGGTTTCATTTTACGTAAAATTGAGGAAAAGGAATTTCTAAAAAAAGAGTTAAAGCTTCATTTTGATTTCCCCTTTCTTTGTCCTTTGGTTTTTGTCTTTTCTTTCTCTTTAACTGGAATGAGCAGTTTATCTGCACTATACCCGCTGTTGATTTGTGGGGCCACGCTGATAATAGGGAAAGTGCTATGCTTTTTAAAAATGATTATCTTTTTTTTTTTTTTCACATATTCCCCCCTCCACACACACACATAACATACACACACACAGGAGCTCTGTAAGCTAGGGATGACAATACTATCCCCTGGTTACAGGAAAAAAAAATCAGACTCGCCTCTGCTCACAAGACTTTTTAAGGGCCAGAGCAGAAATTAGAACCCAGGTGTTCCCACTCCTGACTGAGTGGTCTGCCCTCTCCACCAAGCTTTGAAACGATATATGGGAGAACACTTTATACTTTACACGGAAGTAAGCCATTTTTCTGCTCAGATGCACAAAGAAAGTTGTAGTCAAAAGTCAAGATTGTCCCACATGAAACAAATGTAATAATAATAATAACTGGCTTTTAATACTTGAGTGTTTATTAAGTTCCAGGCTCTGTCTTAAGCAGTAAATATTATTTAAATAGTCAAATGTAAATTTACATGAATAAATTTATCTAGAAATACAAAAATAATATATTCAAATTGGTGAATAAATGTATGTATTATAAATTTAAATAACTAAGTTTCTAAGTTGATAATCTAAGTTACTTTTTTCTCAGCTTTAAAAAAAATTACATTCAAAATATATATAACAAACCCCCTTCTCATTCAATGTAGAGAATACACCTCAACTTATTCTACCCGTAGGTTACACAGCTGGCCAGAATAACAGGAAATGAGTTATCGGAAACTGGAAATAAAAGATTTGCTGCTGGATTTTGTTTTTTTTGTTTGTTTGTTTGTTTTTCAGACCCTTTACTTTTTTTGTTCAGATTGCTTGGTTATCAGGTCCAAGTTCAGGACTTTTTAATATTTATTGAGAAGCATTTGGGATTTTTTTAGTTTGTTTCAGCATTTCTGCATGGGATGGAAAGGGTACGCATGAATATGATTGAACTGTGGAGCATCCAACCTCTGCCCTGCCTTTTTTTTTACCTGTGAAGTGAGGACAAATATCTGATTGTAACAGTGCCTTGGGTATATAGAATACTGCCTATGACGTTATCTTCCAGCCCTAAATCAAAACAACCAAGCCCGTTGCTGTCCAGTCAATTCCAACTCATAGCGACCCTATAGGACAGGGTAGAAATGCCTCATAGGGTTTCCAAAGAGCAGCTGGTAGATTTGAACTGCCAACCTTTTGCTTCACAGCCAGATGCTTAACCACTGCACCACCAGGACTCCTTTGCAGCCTAAGAGGGAGGTATTTACTCATCTACCAAATACTTACAAAACCTTTATCTGCCATGTACTAGGCCCCGTTCTGGGCTCTGGGCACACGGCAGGGAACAAGACCCACACAGTCCCGGCCTTGTGAACCTTACAGCCTAAAGGGGAAACAGACCTAACAGAGTGAAAGAGAAAAGGCCTTGCACAGTGTGCTAAGTGCCATGAAGTGGATGATGAGGGAACCACAGTCTGCCTCGGGGTTAGGGAACAGAGGAAGAAACGGAAGTTAAGAGGAGCTCATTACTTTCCTATGGACAACTAACTGTGGGGCAAGAACGCAGCTTCCCTGGATCCCCCAAAACCTTTGTGATAAATTCTCGCTTAGACTTACTCAAAGGAGTTTTCATAGAAAGATGACTATAAACACAGACAGTATTAATGTAAAGCTCTTAATTGTCACATTGCTAAATATAGCATGAACATTTTAGCTAAAATAATTAGAAATATTCTACAGCATTTATCATTATAAGTTTTAAACACCACATTAAAACTTTAGCATTGACAGGGTCTTTAGATGTTACCTGGAAACCCGGGTGGCATAGTGGTTAAGAGCTACGGCTACTAACCAGAAGGTCAGCAGTTTGAATCCACCAGACACTCCTTGGAAACCCCATGGGGCAGTTCTGCTCTGTCCTCTAGGGTTGCTATGAGTCGGAATTGACTCGATGGTAACGGATTTGGTTTTTTTAGATGTTACCTAGACAGCCGTCATTCAGCATGAGAATGCCTTCTGCAGCTGGTATCATACTTACTACCAGCAGTTGAGCGCTTGCTAGGTCCCAGGCTGTCCAGATTACCTCCTTAACAATAACTCTGCAGCGTGTGCTTTGGAAGTTTCTGTTTCACAGTTGTGGAAACTAAGGTTCAGGAAGATTAAGTAACTTGTCCAAATTACACAGCTGAAAAGTGGAGGTGCCTGCTTGTCCAACAACCTTTGGTTTTTAGCTACTGAGCTCCAGCTGAGTGTTTTGGAGAGTGGTTTTTAAAAAATCTATTTTTGCCTCTAAATGGTTTTATTGGTTTTTTTTAAATAGTCAAATCTAAAGGACAACCTCATTGTTGTGGACCTCCATTTAAAAGAAAAGAGTGTCTATTATAGGGGGAACACATAAAACAAATAGAGAACTGTTTTTAATTTATTTAATTTGTCTCCACTTCCCTTGTTAAACTTAAATTTCAGGGTTTCTGAATTGTATATGATTTTTATTCATATCTTTAAATTTATTGGATAAACTATTGAAGTAAGTTTAAATTAAAAAAAAAAAAAACTTGAACATTGATGAAAGATGTAAGTAAAAAAGTTACCAGCAGTCCCGTTTATGATCTATAAGGAAAATCCCCCACAGCGTTCTGAGGCTGTAAGTTTGATGTGTGGGAAACATTGTGAAATGGGTCAGGGGAAAGATTTGTCCTTTAGAAATTATAATTAACATTTTACATGAAACCTTCCTTTTGGGCATAAAGTAGTAGGATACAGGAAGCATGGGCTCGGGAGTCAGGAGTTAATGGCCCATCCCCTCACTGCTGCACAGCTGTGGCCTCAGCTTAGCCACCTGTGACAGAGAGGGTGACATGTCTCTCACAGCATTATGGGAC